CCCAGAGCGCCCTCCCACACCCCAATCCCCCGCCCCAGCCCAGAGCGCCCTCCCACATCCCCAACCCCCTGCCTGACGCCCAGACGCCCCCTCCCACACCCCAACCCCCTGCCTCGGACCAGACGCCCCCTCCCACACCCCAATCCCCCGCCCCAGCCCAGAGCCCCATTCCACACACCAACCCCCTGCCCAAGCCCTGAGCCTTCTCCCACAACCCAACCCCCTGCACCGGCCAGGTGAAAGTGAGTGAGGGTGGGGGAGACGAGTGACGGAGGGAGGGGGGATGAATTGAGCGGGGGCGGGGCCTCTGAGAAGGGGTGGGGCAAGGGGTGAGGATTTGGGGTAAGGGGGTGGGACAAGGGTGTTCTGGTTTCTGTGATTAGAAAGTTGGCAACCCTGCCCCTAGGGGGCACCAGCTCTGATCCAGCCCCAGGGTGGGGACTGGCTGGCTCAGGGTGGGGGATGGGGTGGGGAATGGGACATGGGGCCTTTCCATTCTGGGGGGCGCCAGCTCCCACCCGGCTCCAGGGCAGGGGGCTGGCAGGCTGTGGGGGGAATGGGACACGAGGCTTTTCCCCCCAGGACCCCAGATCTGTATCGTGCTTCCCCCACAGCCGGCGCTTTCCTCATCTCCACCGACCCCTCCCCGGTGACGGCGCTCCTGGGCTCCGACGTGCTCCTGACATGCAGCTTCCCCGCGGCCCCGCATGGGGCAGACGAGGGGGCCGGGCAGCTGCGGATGACCTGGTACTTCCAGGGCCAGACGCTGATGGAGCTGGACGGCATCGCGGTCACCACGAGGAAGGGGGCAGAGCTCTTTGCCCCAGAGCTGCCCAGGGGCAACGCTTCGCTCCTCCTGCCCCGCGTCACGCTGGCCGACCAGGGCCCCTACCGCTGCTCCGTGCGCTACGGGGGGCGGCGCGGAGAGGGCAGCGTCCGCTTACAGGTGGCAGGTAGAGTCACGCCCCGGCCTCGCCCCGTGCTCCCGGCCGGGCACGGCTGTGTCACTGGGCCCCTGACGAGCTCGGACCAGCCCCGGGATGGCTGCAGAGCCGCATTCTCTGGGGGGAGGTGAGCGAGTCCCAGGGCTCCCGGGGGGCTGGAGGAGTCACGGGGCCTTTGTGGAGGGGACGGGGAGGATTGGGGCTGCCAGCACTGGCTGGTGGGAAAGCCTGTGATGGGGCCGACGCCCCAGGCTGCCCTGGACGGGGAGCAAGGACTGACACCGCGGAGGGGCGCTGGACACCTGGAGAGCCGTTCCCAGCCCTTTCAGCTGTGACCTTCCACCCCAGCCGCTTCCCCTGCGACCTCCTCTCCCCGCAGAGCTTCCCCTGCCCGCTCGCTGGACTCCCCGTCTCTGTCTCCCCCAGCGCTGCCGCGGGTCGAGGTGCCCAGCCCCGTGGTGCAGAGGGACGAGGACAGCGCCCTGGTGTGCTGCGTGCGGGGGTTTTACCCCCAGCACATCGCAGTGTCCTGGCTCCGGGACGGGCAGGAGCTAAACGCCTCCTTCATCTCTGCCGCGCGCCGGGGGCACCGGGACGGGACCTTCAGCCTGGTGACCGTCTACAGCTTCACCCCCACGGAGCGGGATCTGGGGGCGCTGTTCTCCTGCCAGGCACAGCACCCCCTGCTGAAC